CTGCCTCAGATGTAGGTGCTTCATCCCAGAGTCCCCAGCTAGAGAACAAGTAACCAAAAAGGCAGCATTCTTCCTCGACTGGGAAAAAAATAAGAAAATAAAGAAGGCCACGCCCGAGTCGGTCGCAACCACTATGGCTATTGATAATGACGGGGAAGCTAATGATGAATAGTTTCCCCTTCAATGAAAACAACGATCTTGATCAGCTCAACATAATGCTCAATCTGGAGAGCTTAGAACCCCAACCGAGGGTGAGGTCTGAGCGCTTTGGGGAGAAATGGATTTAGTGGAGAATGTTGATTCTCCTTTTTCGATCCCAGTTATTTCTTATGGTCCTATGAGGTCGGATACCGGGCCTCTTCTGCCTTTGGTTGATGAGCAACCAATAATCAGCATTGCATCTGTCGCAGTTGCTTCTCAACCTATAATACCATTAGCTTCATCTCCCTCCACACCAGCTGTGCATTTATTACCAGCAACTGTTACATCTCATTTACTGGCCGCAGGTGCCCGAGAAGAGGATGCCTCCCCTCCTTAATCCCATAACCATGGGAATTTGGGGCACAACTACTTACCCACTTCTCCAGATCCCCGAGGGAGGAGGAGCATCGCTCTCTCCGTTTCAAAGGAGTGGCATCTGTTGTCCAGGCTAGTGGAGCTTGCCAACTATCTGAAGTCGCTGACTTCAGAAAAGGATAAGAAGAAAATACACTCTCTTCCAGGGGAGTGTATGTTGAATAATGCTATGCACATTGCGGCAAGGGTACCTTACTTGTTCTCTCACTGTTTGTTTTTATTTATCTGTTATAACCGGGTTTCTAACTTTGATACACGTTTTACAGGCCAACTTCCTCGCTTTTAAAAGCCTTTAGAGATTGATCCTTGATAAATAAGGACTCATATCCGAGCGGGATCAGCTGTTGGCCGAGAGAGATTAACTCATTACACGCCTCCCGGTACTACAGGCAAAGGCTGCTGAAGTGGCCGAGCTTGAGGCCCGGTTGTAGCAAAGTGAGCAGGAGTCGATGGCTCATAGTCAAGAAGCCACTCAACTACATGCACAATTTCAAGATGCTAAGGCTAGGTGGGCTGAGTCTCAAGACGTTGCTCTTGCTTCTACCGAGCGCGAGTCTGCCTCCATCGAACGAGCAAATAATTTGGAGGCAACCTTGAACTCCAAAACCGAAGAGGCTGCTGATGCCGAGGAGAAATGTAATGACCCGGTCAGTCGTTTCAAGTATTACAACCCTGTCTCCCCATTTACTACTCAAGTTATGATTTTCAGTTATTTTATGATTTACCGGATTAAGTGGTTCGTGTCCGGTGAGGTTTGGAATGATTTGGAACATTTAGTTCGAAGGTTTAAAACTTAAGTTGAAAAGATTTTATGGTGTTGAGGTAGATTAATTAGTACAAAACAATGCACCGATGTGTAAAGGAAATTTTTTGCCAAAAAAGGGTCATATCTGTGACCCACTATGCGGTCGCAGAATCACTCTGCGGACCGCATAATGGCCGCAGAGTGAATCAGGAGTGGGGCAAGTGTGGAGGAAAGTTTGCGGTGCATTATGCAACCGCATATCAGTTATGCGGTGCATTATGCGACCGTAGAACAGGTCTGCAGATCGCATAATGACCGCATACTCATGCAGGCTTGCCCAGTTCCGGAGGCCACATTTCGCGGCCATTTCGCGAGCCGCAGAAGCGTTATGCGGTCGCATATGCGACTGCAGAGTGTGTTTCGGGGCTTAATTTTTCTGGTTATATAAACCCGACCCCATTCTTATAAAATACTATTGGGAGTCATTTTAAAGGGTTTCATCTGATATTTTAGAGAGAGGTGAGAGCATTTTAGAGAGAGAAAGTGAAGACTTAGTCATTTATCCATTAATTCTTGTTCAAGGTTTGAAGATTTCACAAGAATCTTGCTAGGGCTTCAAAGAGGTAAGAATTTCTTTCCCCAATTCTTCAATTTCAGGTTTGGAGTAAAAGATGGGAGATTAAGAGTATGATTCTTGGGTGTAAGAGTATCATGTATACATACACATACCAATAAGGTTGTGGAAAGATTGTTGAGTTCAAATGGGTAAAGATTGGATTGAAAATGGTAGAAATTTTCATAAACTTTAATTGAAGATTTGAGAGTCGAGTTGATGTCGGAATTTGGTGAAATATGTATGGTTGGACTCGTGGTTGGATGGGCGTTCATATTTTGTAACTTTTGTCGGGTTCCGAGACGTGGGCCCCACGGGTGATTTTTTATTGCAAATTTCGGATTTTGTTAGAAAATTTGTATTTTCATATGGAATTAATTTCCTATAATTTGTATTGACTGAATCAAATTAATTATGGCTAGATACGAGACTTTCGGAGACCAATTCACGAGGCAAGGGCATAGCGGAGTAGGAATTATATGGTTTGAGGTAAGTAACACTTCTAAACTTGGTTTTGAGGGTATGAATCCCTGAATTACGTGTTGTATGAATTGTTTAGAGATGACGCACATGCTGGGTGACGGGCGTGTGGGCGTGCATCATAGGAATCATTATTTAATTGATTCCGTGGAGTTGTATAATTAAATAATATAATTATCCACATATCCTCCACATGTTATAGAAATTGAGCTGAGACTCATATTAAAGATCATGTTTAGGCTATACACCGATATATTTTGGGACCCACATGGGTCGTGCTGTTGTTGAATTAAACTGTTTAAAATGTAATTTTGTACTCAGTCACATCTATCACTTGCATATCATATCTCAGTCTCTGTTATTATTCATTGATACACCATATCATTATTTTGGGCTAGTTTCATGACATTATGAGCCCGAGAAACTGGAGAGAATGATGACTGAGTGAGGCCGAGGGCCTGATTGTGAGGTTATTACTATGAGATCGGGCTGCACGCCGCAGCAAGTTTTATTTACTTATGCTTGGATCTGGCTTATTATAGTGCTTGGGCTGAAGGAGCCCCTCCGGAGTCTGCACCCCCACAGTGAGCGTAGTT